AGGGTGCTGTTACACAGCAGGCCCACCCCAATCTAACTAAATTAGATCTCCAAAGACACCATTGCCAAGAAAGGTCACATCCCAAGGTTACAGATAGACGTGGATTTTGGAGGAATGTTTATTTCTGCCTCTACACTGACCCTGGCCAGCAAGAACTTGCTCATAGACCGATTGGGTCTGGCCTTATGCAGCCTGTTAATACATGTTTTCAGCTGAAGGTGATCATTATAATGGCCAGAGGTTAAGAGATGCATTTGATTACAGAGTGCTCAACAAAACAGTCATCAGTGCAAACCTAAATCTATTCCCAGGTCTGACCTGGTCTGCATGAAGTCATTTCCCCAGAGGAGTTCTTAATCATGAAAGGAGGAAGAAAAAGACTAACAGAATAATTTCACTCAGATTTATGTACCAAGCCCTTCTAATAATTTGTCATACTTGTTTTGGGCAATATTTTAAAATGGTTTTTGCTTAGAAATAAAGTTTGGACATAGCAGGTATGGAACAGAAGATGGAATTATAAGATAGGAAGAAATGAACATGAATGAGTGTGATTCTGTCTGGGATGATGAGGTAGACATGGTGGAGGCAGTGATGGAGTTTTAAGTTCTACCCTGCCCTGCATCTTGATGACTCATGATTCTCAGGTTGGGATGAGGAGGTAGACAGGGAGGGGGCAGTGATGGAGTTAAGTTCCACCCTGCCCTGCATCTTGATGACTCACAGTTCTCAGGCCCTCTGTTCCATTCCACAATCCAGCTACTGTCATCTTTTAACAACTCATTCTTTCCACAAAACTGAAGAGATCTTCCTGCCCCCATTTCTATCTTATTTTATCAGTGATAAATAGGTATTTCAGGAACAGATAGATGGATCTTCCTGGGAAAAATTCCATTTCCTACCCAAAATGAATTTTAAATGGAAAAGTGCTGAGGGCATTGAGCCTTCATTTTACATATCATCTGTGCTTAACTTTTTGCAGTGTCCACAGGAGATGACTGTTTCCTCTTAAGGAAGGCAGAGGCTGGGGGCTCTTCTCAGTAGAGCACTCTGTGAAGGTGGCTTCTGTGGGTCAGGATAGAGAGGTGGATTCACAGTGCACTGTGGATGCACTGCAGCATTTACTGCTGAGGGGACACACAAGAGCCTAGACTGTCAACCAAGACCACGAGTTGCCTGAAGACATATGGTTCTGGACATTCATATTTTGGCTTTGTAAAACTAAACTTATTTTACTAGATTTTTTTCCTTTGCTGAGCATGTGGACAGTGAGGATCTGGGTGGATTACATCCTTAAACTTGAATTCATCTCTGAAAAGTAAAATGGTGAAAAAAATAGTAATTGCTTCAATTCATAGCCTTGCTTCTCTTCCTGGAGTAACAGAAATAAGTCTGAATTATGGTACGAATGAAGTCAAGAATGGTCCGATATATTTATTTTTACCTGCCATTTGCTATACTAGGTTAGACAATCCTGGGTTGGGAAAATAGTTTTATATTTCTTTCTATTTCATTTTATTTATGCATTCCTAAGATGCAGTTTCAGAAATAAGCCTAAAATATCAATTCATTTTAAACTCATCAGTCAGAATAGAGGAGACTGACATGGGGGTGACTAGTATATTCCTAACATAAATATCTACATGTATTTTTCAAGAGCATCCATGGTTCCAAATGAAGATTTAAGATGGGGCTCATTGGGCAACTGTCCAAGGCTCTACAAAAATAAATGATTTTGAGTTTTGGAGGCTCAGAGCTCAATGTCAGGTGATACTTTCTGCTTGTTCTCTAGTAAGAGGCTTAAGGCATGTCCATAACCACTGCAGGAGAGGGTGGAAGGAACCAAGAACAGGGCAGGATTCCAGCTACTCTGTAAGGATCTGTATCAGGGAACCATCCAGGACCTACAGCTGTTTCTTCTTAAGACAACACCCCAAGAACCAGCCATGTCCCATCTCCAAAGGCACCATCATCTTTCTACATCTCCAGAGTGTGGAACAAGCTTCTAGCATATGACCATAGGGACACAGCTCACATCAAACCACAGCTTAGGGTTGAGGATAGAAAGAGAGGAAAGGGAGAGAAGAAGAAACAACTGACACTTAAAGGCAATAGGGCTATTGGCTAGGTAAGTGCCACTCGGTAAATGCTAACAAAGAAATTAAAGGTGGAACATGATAGTAAATGCTGAATTCCCATCACTTGGGAGGCAGAGGCAAGATGTCCACAAACAATCCATGCTGTATGAACAACAGAGTAAGATCCTATCTCAAAAACACCAATGGAAAAAGGGAAATGAAATTAAATGAACCCATACATAGGACTGTGAACTATTCATTGGTTGACTGGTTGTTATGTGCTGTTTCAGGAGGGCTAGCTACAATCTTGCCATGTGACCCTATACATCCTCTTGGTGTGTTCAAATGGAAATGGTCTGCAGAAGACTCAGGGTGTGGGTCAAAGGTCAGGAGTGACCCCATAACTTAACTAAACAGAAATTTACTGAGTTTAAACTGTAGGAGAATAAACTGTGCACAGGGTTAGGGATGCAGCTTAGTGGTAGACTGCCTGTCTAGCACGTGTAAGGACTCCAGTGCTAACAAAGAAGGCAAGACTCTGTTTGTTGTTTATGAAGACCTAGATCCAGGACCCTCTTTGGGTGCCAAAAATATATATGTGTTCAAATCTGGATACAAAATAATACATAATTTTCTTCCTGTACTATCATTGTATTCATTTGACAGTACAGTATCTGTTAGGGTTAATTGTGTGTGTGTCACCCTCTAGAGAACTCTTAACCTATAGCTGGGTTAAGAGCTACTGCCTGTTAAGAGCTGCAGTGGGGATCTCTGTGCCCCAGGTCCCTCTCTGGCACACTGCTGTCACTTAGCAAAGGCTCATGGGATCAAAGAGCTAAAAGGCAGAAGTAGCATCGGCAGTGATTTTTTAAATATGAATCAAAGTCCAAGAGCGACTGAGAGGAGCAAGCATGCAAATAAACTCACACTGAAAACCCTAAGAGTTCTGTGAAGTCATAGACACATGCAACTGTTTGGGTATGTTGTCCTTGTTTTCAGGGAACCATAGATGGATAAACAAGGAAACTCCTTGGAGCCTTTTGTTCGAGGAGTCTTTATTTGATAAATTCATTTTACTGCTCTGGATGACCACTCTACTCCTCTCCCAGTCCAGAGAGACTACCAGACATTAGAACATTAGAACAACAATGGTGCTAGCCAACTGCTTTCTGTAAGACAGAAGTTTAGTTAAAAAATAAGGTTTGTTACACACAAAGGGGATTTGCCTTATAGCTCATGTAACATACTCAGAAATGTGGGAAACCACCAACTCTGGTTGTATCATGTCTGAGGATACCTGACTCGGCTACAATATACTTTTCCTGAACCTAACAACCTCTACCCTTAGTATTTCCTATGTTGTTTGTGGTCATTTCCTCCTGGAAGCAGAAGCAGTAGGGGTGGAGCCTCTCTGTGTGTGGAGAAGTATGAGGTGTCAACCTGATCTGATCTCAAGGTGATCTGGGCCACATCCTCCTGGATCTTAAACACAGCCAGAGGTCTCATGAAAAGGTCTCATGATGTTATCATCAAAGGTGCTGAACACACCCAGTTTGGCTATGCCCTCATCCTTGAATCAAATGTCATGGAGATGCTAGGATGCAGCTGTTATTCAGAATTTCATCTGTAGAGCTGATCAGGTCTCCATTGGTTACTATGCAACAGAATCTGGGGCTCCTCCTTACACAGACGTTTATTATTATTGTTATTGTTATTAACGCCCACAGCAAAGAGGAAAACCACTATTCATAGGTGCAGATAACAGGTTGGGAGTACCTCCAGTGTTGGTACTGGAAGAGTTAGAGCTCTTCAGGCAGAGTGGGGCCTTAGAAGGATAATAGAATTGAAGAAGTCATAAAAGGGTGCTCCAAAAGGGAATTTTGGAGGCGTGTAAATCTGGTTTATGGTAGAGACTATCCAGAGAAATCGTGCCAAAGGTTCATATGTCATGTGGTGGAGGGAAAATGTTCAGAGGATTCCTGTTCTGTTTCTAAGTATGTGAAGATATTCAGTGGGCCTGGCTGTGAGCCTTACTCTGTACATACACTAACACACAAAAGATGCCCTCTCAATGCCAGGACTGAGAGCATTGGTACAGATATTCATAAGATGGTTATCAGTAATTCTCATTGACGTGCTTTTGTTCCTTCTTCGAAGAGACCAGGTATTGACAACTAAAATCTGAGCAACTGTTGGGGAAACCACAGGTCTGTGACAGCCTGTAGAAATTTCCAACTTTATTATAAACCTTCCCTAGGAGCACAGGTTGACTTTAGAGAAACGGCTGTCAATCTTGTTTAGTACCCCCTTTCCTAAAAGTCAATCAAGGCATACAGACAACTCTAAGAAGACCACAGAGATTGCTGTGTGGTGATTTGTTTTTTAATGCACTTGAAAAAATTATGGATACTTACATTTCTTTAGCATTTGAAAAACATGAAGTAAAGTGGGCCTTGTTAAGGAGATATTTCTAAGAAACTATGGATTCTTGTAACCATACAAAGAATTAAGGGGAAAGAAACTTAGAATAAAAGCAGTTTCTAGTGGTATTTAATTATGTCCCTATACATTTGTCACAGACTCTCCCCAAGAAATTGCCTGGTTAGTTCACATGCAAAATATCATGTTAAATTACTATAAGCTATTATTTTCAGTGAAGGGAAGGGACTTGATATTGGTCTCAACCAATAGAGCTCTTTGTTTCGCTCCAGATAGAAGATAGCAAGCTAACTCAGCTAAACACTGTGTGGGTCTAGATTCGTGGAAAGCTTGGAAAGTGCCCCTTGAAGTGCTTTCATTTAGTTTTCTATTTGCCATGCCAACATCTGTCTTGGCAGGACAGTATGGTTCTCAGAAAACAGCCATCAAGGTTACAGGAAAACTCCCTGCACAGGGAGCTTGGCAGGCAGGGAAGGGACTGACCTTAGGCACCCAGTGGCGTTGCGCAGCACCTGTGATGAATGCAGCTGTAGTTTCCGATCGTCCTGAAGAGGGGAATTTTCCCAGCCCGAGTGAGGGATAATCACCGCATTGGTCAACACCGCCAGGGCATCCTGGATGATTGGCATTTTGAGTGCATCACATGATGAGAGGTTCCAAAGGACTCCTGTAAGACACATACAAGGAGAGCCACTGCTGAATGGTACCATTCTCTCTCATTGCAACCAGTTTCCCTTACTGGATATAATAGCATTGGCAGGAAGGGGTAAATAGTATGAGCTGGGCCAGAAAGATGGCTTAGTAGGAAAGGATGCTTGCTGTGGAGGCAGAAGATCTGAGTTCAATGACTAGGATCCAGACTCCTGCAGGGTGTTCTCTGACAGCTGCATATGTGCTGTGCTGTGGCGTGTACACACACACACACACACACACACACACACACACACACTACATGAATATAAAAGACAGGGTTGGGGATAAATACTTGTGTCTTAGAGCCTTCCCTCAACAGTTAATGACAAAGAGGTCATGAATTTGAAAAAGAGCAGCATCAGTAGGTACATGGACAGGGTTGGAGGGAGGAAAGGGAAGGGGAGAAATGATTATATTATGATCTTAAAAAATTAAAAAGGGAGTAACAGAGAGTGGAAGACTGACTATAACAGTAATTAATGTAGACAGAACAAAATAAAAAATGTTGATCACAGAATGCTTTGGGTTTTAAAATATGAATTACCTAAAACAAAATTAATTGCAGATGACGTCACAGACATTGCCTCTATGTTATGTCACAATTTAAAAACTGCTCTTAAAATAATTGTCTTATTTTATTTTTGTTCTGCATAATAGACACAAAAGAAAGAGAAATGTTTGTGCTTTAGTTGGAGTAACTACCACCGGAATGCAGAGAGAAGTCTGGCTTGTTCTAAAAAAAAGCAACTTCCAGGTTACTTGTTTAGGGGGTTTTCGGCCTTTGACCAGATGAAATATCATCTCATCTATTGTGTTAGGTGAGCAGAACATTTTTCTTGACACTATGATTAATATTTGCATTCCACATACCAAACATAGCCATTGATCACACAAATCGGGATTGTTAATTAAATAAGTGACATACAGTTGTATAAAAACTAGTTTACTTTTATTTTATTTATTTATTTTGGTTTTTTGAGAGAGGGTTTCTCTGTGGCTTTGGAGGCTCTCCTGCAACTAGCTCTTGTAGTCCAGGCTGGTCTCACAGAGACCTGTCTGCCTCTGCCTCCTGAGTGCTGGGATTAAAGGCATGTACCACCACTGCCCGAAAAACTACTTTAGATATACACTTTGACTGTCTTCAGAAGCAGCATTTCCTGGCATAAATAAACCTAGTGCAGGGCATCACTTCAGGACAGGTCTGGTTTGCCTGTTTCTACAAACAAAGTTGTATTTGAACCAGCCATCTCTGTCCATCTACACATTTACCTCTGCTTTTGTCCACAAACAACTTGCCATCTGTCTTTTCCAGAAAAGTTTACCCAACCTCCTTTTAATGTATCAAAGCTTTTCCGTATGCTTTGTGTATGGCTTTTATTCTCCAAACATTCAATGGTAAATGGCAGATGTAGAAAATATGTTTCTAGTGGGACTGATTTGTGATACTAGAAACATTAACATATTATATCATTTTGAAAAATAAGATAAAGCTGTTCATTCATCCATGATGAAATCTTTTATTGAGCTCTGATCACCAAAATAATCAAAATGTATGCCAGCGTTCATTTGCAGTGACCCAATGTTATTTTATAAAAAAACAATAAATCTTTCAGTTTAAAAAAGAACATTAAAAATAAATCATATTTCATCTCAGTATTTGAGGATACCTTTCAGAAAGCCATGTTAAAGCACTGGTGTGAACTGTATGTAATCAATGGTGACAGACGATAATGAGTATTTTCATTACCAGCCCCTGATTGAAAATACTAACACGTACAAATTGAAGTCTGAAATTGAGTGTTTTAAAAAGAGGGTGACTTTTTCACAGCAAAACACAATTAAATAGTAAAACATACATTTTCTACATGTAAGCTATTCTGTGATAATACTAAATAACAAATAAAATTTGCTACTTTAAGAACTAAAAGAGTTGGGAGGAAGAGGTGAAACTTGAAGGAAAATATAAGGAATAGTTGAACATTTTACTAGAAGAGAGAAGATGAAAGAGAAGATGTCTTCATTGGACTGTTCTGTCTCCTTCATCTTTCTTATTGATTTATTGGTTTCAAATAGTTCAGATTTGAGCATGGTGGTTCCTCAGTTCATATTCAGTCTACCTTTCCACACTGATGCTATTGTGTGTCATAGTCCAGTGAACTTACGAAATCCCTTGGTCTGCATCTCCAAGTCTTCCATCTAGCATCATGAGTATCTGAGACCTACAAAAAACATGTCCTGAAAGGAGGTCTGCGACCCTACCTAGGACTATCTTGGTATGAGCTGACGAGTTGGAAAAGTGGCTAAAACGGCACAACAGGTAGAAGCTTGAACGTTGAATCTGTACTTTCTGGAGATAGTTGGCACAATGGCTGATATATTGAGAGGCCAAAATTAGGAAAGAGTTGGGTTCTACAGCTATCCTGACAAAAACACATGAGACAGAGAGAGAGAGGAGAGAGGCATAGGAGGAGAGGAGGAGAGGGACAGAGAGGGGAAGACAGGAAGAGGGAGGAGAGAGAGAGAGAGAGAGAGAGAGAGAGAGAGAGGGAGAGAGAGAGAATATATGCTGGAGGTAAAGAGTTTCGAGATTTATGTAGGAAACTAGATTAAGTAAATGAGAATTGGGCTGTGCTCAAATTCTCCAGTCCTTTCTTTTTCTCCGTTCTTCTGTGGTGTTTTAGGATGTGACCACAGGTTGTTTGGTATCCTACAAAGCTGGGCAGCCAAAGCCTGAACACAGGAGAGGCAACTGGACTCAATGATTTCTGTGGCCAAGAGAGCAGAATGGCAGCCCGAGAGCCCACACCAGGCTGTAGGGAACAGCATTGAGGCTTTTCTTTACATATTTCCCTCTGGGTTGTTGCTGGCAGTGCAGCCTGCTGTCATGCCACAGGACCCACAGGCAGCTCATAGCCACTGTGGTGAAGAGGGTGGCCTTCATTGAACAAGTCACATGACTGTATTTGCACCTCAATTTACTGTCCTTGATTTTCCTTCCAGCCACAAGAAGGCAGGAAGCACACTTGTGTGAGTATCAGAAAGATGCTGAACACTCAGCATTCAATGTCTGTAGCACACAGAATGTGCTTCAGCACCCAGGGGGCACTTGCCAGGAAGTTACTGCAAAAAAGCAGATTGAGTAACTACAGGATACGACCCTGCAGGATGCCAGGGGCGCTGAGCATAAAGCATTTGTAGATCACTATATTGCTAGCAAGATGATGTAATGGATTGAAAGAGTAAAATAGTAGATGCAAGACAAATAATAAATCCAGGTGCAAATATGAAAATGCTATTGAAATGGCATTATATGCTATGAATATACAGACATTCTACTTGTAGCTGGCAGATAAATATTTATACCTCTGAAAAACATTAATCAGTTTAGCACTAGAAGTTTAATCTCTTGCAGCTGATCTAGGTAGTTTTACTATATTAACTTCCCAATAATTTTAAATACCTAGGGTGATACCAAATTGTAACACATTGGAAAAATATAGAATAAACTAAATTCACAAAGTATAAACATCCATGAGGAATTAAGTAAAAATAGTTGTAATCTGTAACTGGAAAATTTTAATTTACATGATGAAGGTATGCTAATTTATTTCTGATAGTAATCTGTAATAAAATTGTTTTGGTGGAATGTTCCACTAATGACATCATCCAGTAGCATCCTTTTATCAGTATAAAGTTATTACTGTTCCAAATATAATTGACAGTTCATTTAGTTCAGAAGAAATTTAAATAACTAATGATGTATACTAAATATATTTAAGAGATACTTTATTTTTATTTCAGGCAAAGGATGGCTTTTTGTAGATTACCATATTCATGAGCAGTAATTGGTTTATTAAAATTTCTTTAATAAGGTTTTAATTACTTTCATTTGATCCTTTATTTTGTTTTAATAGGGGGTAATTGTGATTTTTTAAACCTGAAAGAGATGACAATCTCTGTGTAAATAATGAATAAAACTCACACTTTAATAACAGCAAGCCTCAAACATGGCTTCTGGGTTATAGAGGTCATTATTTCACCCTCCATTTACTTTAAACTATTTTGATTTTCACTATAAAACTTAGGAAGAATTCCAACAAAAGGTGGTGCTCTGAAAAATGCCCAGAAGTAGTCTGGGCTTAATTTCTTTTAGATGTTTTAAAACTATTTATTTAAAATTTATCAGTTCATGAAAAATTAATGTATGCATTTAAGAGGATTTAGTTTAAGGAACATCTTCATTTCTTTAATTTTGAGAGTGACAGTTTGTGTACCTGAGGGAGGGAGTAGAAAAAGATAAAATAGGATCAAAACCTTTTTTTTTTATTAAAAATTTCAAAATATAGGTCTATAGGCCAGATGTAGTGGTACACTCGGGAGGAAGAGCCAGGGAGACTTTCATGAGTTCTAGGCTATCTTGGTCTACATAGTCTACATAGCAGACAAGGCTATATGGCGATGCCTTGTCTCAGACACAACTATACACACAGAAAAAACCAACCAACCAACCAACCAAACATCTCTTTATTGTATGTGTTTGGGTGTTTTGGCTGCATGTTTGTCTGTGTGCCATAGTTATGCAGTGCCCACAGAAGACAGAAAGTGGAGTGAGATTCTTAGAAACCTTAGCTACAAGTAGTTGTGAGGAACTGTGTGGGTGGGGACTCCAAGTGCTCTTTAGTACTAAGTCACCTCTCTAGCCTCCAAACAGTTAATCTTGTAATAAAATCAGGGTTGGGCTTAGTGAGGTAGTTTAAGGGGAGCCAAGAGGGGACCTATTGCTTCCTTTCCCACCTTGATTCACACATACCTATAGTTTTGAGTGGGGTTGAGCTGCTGTTTGAACTCTGGGTCTAGGAGCCCCTGAACTCCTGTTGGGTTGTGTGTAGGTATACCATGTGTGGCTGCATATTTGGGTTCACATGGATAGCGCTCACACATCCTCAACGCAAATGTAAGAGACCAAGGCCTCAA